TAAGCAGGAATTTATACACAAGACATGGAATGCTCATTGTTGTAGAAGCTGGTAGGCAGAGTCCTGGATAATATGGGTTGATCGGCCCTAGCGTGGTTGTGATGTAATCCGTTGCTAAACCAGGAAGCACACTGCAACACTCTGACATCAGGTTTTGCCTTTCTGCTGGAGAGAGAGATACTGGCGGGGAGATATTAAGAGGACACTCGGACCAATCAACCCATATTATCCAGGACTCTGCTTACCAGCTTCTACAACGGTGAGCTTTCCATGCTAGTTTTATTTGCAAGTTTTAATTTACATTTGGCAACAAAGTGTTTTCTGCTTTTACCTTCCAGTTGGTGATGACTCCATGTAACCCATATCAAGATCCAATGATCTCAAGGGTCTGATCCTCCCTATGCTGGATAGTTTGTAGTGGTACTATAACCACTCCACAATTGTGAGTTAAACATCTACAGAGTGTGCTTATTAAGTTGGTATACAGACTGTATTGCACTAGGTTTATTTTTTTATGTATTTATAGATACCTGTGACGTAGTCATTCAAGGAATTGCAAGTATTCTTTTGTTCTATTGTCACTTTATATGGTTTTTTTACACACGTGTGGTTTTAAAATAATATTGCTATCCCACACTTAATGTTTTGGAGATCTTGGGAAGTAATTATATATTATCTAATTGATCTTTTAACTGTTTGCGCACCTACACTATTGTATTGTACACCTATTTTAAAGCGCTGCAGAATTTGATGGCGCTATATAAATATCATATTAATAATAATAATAATACACTTTTTTTAGTTTACAATCTGGGGATTTATATGATCAGGGTTCCGAGTAGACTGCTGCATTCGTATCGTTGTCACACAAGTATAAAGTCACCTTAATTTATTATAATTATTGCGCCATCTTAATCTACTATTTTATACATTTGATTGACAAACCTATGTAAAACTTAAAAATGACCCTAATAGTAAATTTAATTTAGAACTAAAACAGTTATTAACTGATGCAAAAAAGGAAGGCATGATTGATGATACTACATTTTCGTTTCTCTATACTGAATTTCCTAGAATCTCAACTTTTTTTTTTCTCCTGAAAATACACAAATGTAAAGAAAAACCACACGGCAGGCCAATAATTAGCGGTATAGACTCCTTTACATCTAAACTCTCATATTTATTGACTTTTATTTACAAAAGTATGCCCAAAAAGCGTTATCTTATTTACAAGACACAAAGCACCTGTCAGGATTACCAGGATTGCCAGCACGTAGAATTGTGTCACACCTAGGACTAAAAGGTAACGTCTTACTTGGACTTAGAATGGCCAGACTTAACGTACCAAAGAATAGTCAGGATACTTGCTGAGGTCAGGGACACAGAAAGGTACACAATGATGAGGGAAAGCCAAAAGTCAAGGATACCAGAATATAGGGAAATAAAAACAAAACCAAAGTCAGTAACCAGACATAAATTCCCAGGAACACACTCTCAGACAACCACTAAGGGAAACCATGACAGGGAAATGAGAAAAAGTAGAATTGTGTTTAAATAAGCCCTTTACAAATCTGATTGGGCGAAAATTGGCCTTTGACACCAGAACGTGCATGTGCGCCTCCCGCGTGATGTCACATGCACGCTGACGTCGTCATTAACGTGGGCAGACATGGGGCTATAATTTGGCGTGGATCGGCAGCGGCCGGCGTCTATTAACTTGTTGCAAGAGTCAGTGATACAGACACATGGCCACTGAGAGCAAATGCCGCAAGGTGAGGAGGTGAGGAATATGTTACAGCACCTTATTCAGGCGCTTGACTCAATAGAGTGGGAATATGATTTTATATGGGCCACCCATGATGTAACATCCCTCTGCACTATTATTCATCACAAGCTTGGTTTAGAGGTGGTGAAAAGTAATTTAGCTAATGATGAAGAAATTGAATCACGTTTTAGTGTCTTTTTAATTAAATCTATTTTATTCTAACGCACAACTATTTTAATTTAAGAGTTTTTTCTCTAAATTAAGGGTAATTTCATGGGCACCAAGTTTTCGCCCAGCTACACCAATTTCTTTATGGATTATTAGGAAAGTATGTTAATCAGGACCAATAATCCATTTGGCGCAAATTTGGTGCTCTGGAGACGTTATATTGATGATATTTTAATTATTTGTTGTGGCTCTACAGATATTTTAATTTACTTTTTCAATTTTGTTAATCTGAACTTTTTATCAATAGTTTTTACTGCCAAAATTGGCCAGAGAGAAATCGATTTTTTAGACTTAACCATCTATGTAGAAAACTGGGTAATTAAGATTAAAACCTTTTTTTAAAACCATTGACTCAAACAGTTTCATTGACACCAAAAGCGGACAACACCCAAATTGGCTCCGAGGTGTTCCGAAGAGCACCTAGCACCTTTCGTTGAACTAAATTGTGAACCAATAAAAAAGAGGTTTTTTTTTTATACATGTGGTAACTGTAAAAGCTGTAATTATAAATATACAGCTTTAAAATAATTCAGCATCAATCAAACGTGTGAGAAATTCAAGATCAAGAGCTTGGTCTCTTGTTCCTCCACGCATGTTATATACTTTTGCGGTATGCAATATGTAGGGAGAACAGGAAGAAAGGAGAAAGTAAGATTTTTTGAACACAAAAATAATATTAAGAAAAACCCAACATCTCATTTAGTTCCCGTGCACTGTAACAAATGTCCCTCTTTTGATATGAACAATCTTCAATTTGTTATCATTGAACAAGTCACTTTAGATCACAGAAGTGGGGATCTTATTATTTAACTGAGAATAAGAGAAGGTTTCTGGATCCACAGGCTGCAAACCGTGCAGCTTAAAGGTATTAATGTGGATTTTGATTTAGTGTGTGTTGGGGAAAATATTATGATTATATATATCTGATTAATATGTGCTTGATTAAGTCTATGTGTATGGGAGATCAGGAATTATCTTTAACTCCTTAAAGACCAAACTTCTGGAATAAAAGGGAATCATGACATGTCACACATGTCATGTGTCCTTAAGGGGTTAAAGGGAGTTTCTGTTTAGATAGTTGGAAAGATACAGCACCTGAAAGGCACAGCTACATCCTTGGGAAAGTTTATCACATTCATATATTAACTAGTCTTCAAAGGAGTCTCTATCTAGGAAAACACACCTTAGGTTAAAGGCAAGGGGATGACTGGGAGAGTTCACACGCAAATAAAATAACAGGATAGACAACACTTTGGGCCTTTGGTAAGTAAATCACATTTACATATCAATTGAGCTGAGGAATTGGCTATTTACAACATGGGAACAAATTCCTTTAAAATTAGAAGATATTGACATCACATTAGACTAGGTTGGTAAGACACACACACTGCACACAACATCTCACAGCACATACACAATGTAGCAGGATATTATTAGATAGATTAATGTATTGTAACTCTGTAATACTATAACTCTGTAACATTCTTCTTCTGCAATATTTAACTGGGCAGATTCTAAGTAAAGATTTCTCTCTGGTAAGAACTATGGTGTTGGCTGTTTATTTGTAATATCGGTTAGAATACCTTAGTAGTGCTAGTCATATATTTATCTGGACAAGGGGATAAAGATATATGTTAATTCTTGGAAGAGGTGACATAGGGATATTACATTCACTATTAATACACAACGTAGAGTGGATTTCTCTCAAAAGGATACTAATTGGAAGTATTGTATGGTACAATGAGAAAAATGACTGGGACATAGCAATACCAGGGTACTCTTTATATAGGAAAGATAGGGAAGGCAAGAAAGGGGGAGGGGTGGCCTTGTATGTGAAGGATAGCATAAAATCTAGCCTAATAAAAGTTAGTGAGGCAAACATAGAGTCCGTTTGGGCTACGTTAGAATTTGGTAATCACACAGTAACTCGTGTAGGTGTGATTTATAGGCCCCCAGGACAAATTGAAGAGTTAGATAATCTACTAGTTGAGGAAATAGCTAAAATGACAATGAAGGGGAAGTTATCATCATGGGTGACTTTAATCTTCCTGATGTAAATTGGAAAACAAAATTAGCTACTTGTGCCAGGAGCACACATATTCTAAACTCCCTACTGGGATTGTCTCTAAAACAAGTTGTTGAGGAGCCAACTCGTAAAGAGGCCATACTAGATTTAGTGTTATCAAATGGAGATTTGGTATCAGATGTTACTGTAGGTGAAAGTTTAGGATCCAGTGATCATCAGTCAGTGTGGTTTAATATAAGAACAGTGACTGAGTCACACCACACAAAAACAAAAGTTTTAGACTTTAGAAAAACAGACTTTTCTAAAATTAGAATATGGGTAGAGGAGTCATTATCAGACTGGAGCAATTTAAATGGAGTCCAAGAGAAATGGGATTATTTAAAAGTTGCACTATTGAAGGCAACAGAAAATTGCATTAGGCTTGTCAGTAAAAGCAAAAAATTCAAGAAACCACTGTGGTACTCCGCAGATGTGGCCAAAATAGTTAAAAACAAAAAGTTAGCATTTAGGAATTATAAAAAAACCCAGAGTGAGGAAGACAAAATGATCTATAAGATTAGGCAGAAAGAGGCTAAGCAAGTTATAAGAGCTTCCAAATCACACACAGAAGAGAAAATAGCACAGTCAGTAAAAAAGGGGGATAAAACATTTTTTAGATACATAAATGAGAAAAGAAAAGTAAAACAAGGATTAGTTAGATTAAAAACAAAAGAAGGAAGGTATGTAGAAGAGGATAAAGGTCTAGCTGACTGCCTCAATGAATATTTTTGTTCTGTATTTACAGATGAAAATGAAGGAAAGGGACCTCAGTTGAGAAAAAGGATAAATTAGTCATTTATTACACGTGAGTTTACAGAGGAAGAGGTTCTATTTCAACTGTCAAAAGTAAAGACAAATAAGTCAATGGGACCTGATGGAATACACCCAAAGCTATTAAAAGAGCTTAGTGGTGTACTAGCAAAACCATTAACAGATTTATTTAACCAATCATTGTTAACAGGAGTAGTCCCAGAAGATTGGAAGTTAGCGAATGTTGTGCCCATTTACAAGAAAGGTAATAGGGAGGAGTCGGGCAACTATAGGCCAGTAAGCCTTACTTCAGTAGTGGGGAAAGTGATGGAAACCATGTTAAAGGATAGGATTGATGAACATCTAAAAATCACATGGATTTCAAGATCAGAGACAACATGGGTTTACTTCAGGGAGATCATGCCAAACTAATCTTATTGATTTTTTTGATTGGGTAACTAAAATTATAGATCAGGGTGGTGCAGTAGACATTGCTTACCTAGATTTCAGTAAGGCTTTTGACACTGTTGCACATAGAAGGCTTATCAATAAACTGCAATCTTTAAGTTTGGATTCCAATATTGTTGAATGGGTAAGGCAGTGGCTGAGTGACAGGCAACAGAGGGTTGTAGTTAATGGAATATATTGAAGCTTGGACTTGTCACCAGTGGGGTACCTCAGGGATCTGTACTTGGACCCATTCTCTTTAATATTTTTATTAGTGATATTGCAGAAGGTCTTGATGGTAAGGTATGTCTTTTGCTGATGATACTAAGATATGTAACAGGGTTGATGTTCCAGGAGGGATAAGCCAAATGACAAATGATTTAGGTAAACTAGAAAAATGGTCAGAATTGTGGCAACTGACATTTAATGTGGATAAGTGCAAGATAATGCATCTTGGACGTAAAAACCCAAGGGCAGAGTACAGAATATTTGATAGAGTCCTAACCTCAACATATGAGGAAAGGGATTTAGGGGTGATTATTTCTGATGACTTAAAGGTAGGCAGACAATGTAATAGAGCAGCAGGAAATGCTAGCAGAATGCTTGGTTGTATAGGGAGAGGTATTAGCAGTAGAAAGAGGGAAGTGCTCATGCCATTGTACAGAACACTGGTGAGACCTCACTTGGAGTATTGTACACAGTACTGGAGACCGTATCTTCAGAAGGATATTGATACCTTAGAGAGGGTTCAGAGAAGGGCTACTAAACTGGTTCATGGATTGCGGGATAAAACTTACCAGGAAAGGTTAAAGGATCTTAACATGTATAGCTTGGAGGAAAGACGAGACAGGGGGGATATGATAGAAACATTTAAATATATAAAGGGAATCAACACAGTAAAGGAGGAGACTATATTTAAAAGAAGAAAAACTACCACAACAAGAGGACAAGTCTTAAATTAGAGGGACAAAGGTTTAAAAATAATATCAGGAAGTATTACTTTACTTAAATTAGCTGAAGTGGTAGAGGTTAACACAGTAAAGGAGTTTAAGCATGCGTGGGATAGGCATAAGGCTATCCTATCTATAAGATAAGGCTAGGGACTAATGAAAGTTTTTAGAAAATTGGGCAGACTAGATGGGCCGAATGGTTCTTATCTGCCGTCACATTCTATGTTTCTATGTTTCTATGTTTCTATGTATTGGTGGGGAGAGAAGAATTATACAACAGTGTGTTTTTATAATATATTTTCATAGTGATATTATATTCATTTTTTTCTATTTTTCTATTTATAATTCTTTATTTGAATTTTTTGCAAAACTTTTCACATTATTAACAGTTTGCAATTACAGATACATATATTCGATAGTAAAACATTTTGTACAAAGTTATAACTATCTTATTTTATTTAAGTATCAATTAAAACATATATATTACATTCATACCACATTCATACTGACACAGTGAGAGCAGATCTGAGTTTTCATTATCTCAACTGACATAAGGGGAAGATTCCCAAAGTGACCAAATCTTTGAATAGGAGTCTTACTGGTTAATTAGTAGAGAGTAACCCTTCTCCATTCTAAACTGATAGTTGATTTGATTCTTTATCTTGAACAACTCTGGTTTACGTCGCTGTTTCTAGTTCCTTGCTATACTAATTTTAAAGGCCATCAGTAATTGAATCAAAAGATTAAGAAGTGGATGTTTCCACTCTGGTAGCTCCATATGAAGAAGGAGGAGCTGGGGGGTCAAATTCACCGGTCGGCAACAATCTTCTCCAGTAGTATAGTAAAATTTAATTTGAGGTTGTCTAGTTCTCTACATTCCCACCAAATGTGGTTATGGGTTCCTCTGCTATTACCACATCTCCAACATCGATTGGAGTGTATGATGTTGATTTTATTTAATTTGGTAGGAACCAAATACCACCTATATAATATTTTAAAATGTAATTCTATCAAATGTATATAATATATATTTTTCTTCACTAACTTTATACTTTGTTTCCATTCTTGATTTCTAAAGGTCTTGTTTATATCAGATTCCCATTTAATCAGTGGGGTTTCTTTAGTGAAAGTTTCCAAACATTGCATAAATTCTATAGATCGTAATATCCTCTTCAAGGGCTTGTGAGTATCTAAAAATTGAGTAGTTACGTTTTGTTCAATTACCTGTTTGGTAGACAGGTAATTTTTTATTCTAATATATGTAAATAATTATTTGAAAGGTAAAGAATATATTGTTTGTAACTGTTGAAATGGTGATATTTTCCTATTTATAACCATGTCTGATAATCTGTTGATTCCACAGCTCCTCCACTTCTCCAAGCTAATGTAGTAGGTATTAGCCTCGAAAAGTTCAAGCGAGGAAGACATTGCTATAGCATTTAATTGGTCAAGTTTTTTCCTTAGATTAATAGCTGTTATCAGTATATTTTTTACAATCAGGTTTAAAGTGATCTTATCCAAGCTTTTTCTAATATCTAACCAGAATCAATTATAAAGGTTGACTGTCTTTGAATCTCTCTGAATCTCCATTTCCTTCCATACATTATTTGAGTTGTTTGAGCCACCCCATGCTAAAAAATGTGCCGCCATACAGGCTTCATGTAAGTCATGGACGTCAGGAAAGAACAATCCTCTATTTTTGCTTGTTTTCTTTGAATTTATATAATGATCTAAAATAATTAATGTCCTTAGATTGTAAGCCAAAGGACATAAATTGTGTCTTAGTAATATTAAGCTTATAATTAGAATATTTGCTATATTCGGATAATTATTTCAATTACAGCTGGGTTAGATCCGTAGGCATTCGTCAGGGTCAGTAGGGCTTAATCTGCAAATAAGGTACGTTTGTATTCAACCGGGCCTATTTTGATTCCCTGTACCTCTGTTGAGTGTCTAATTAAGGCTGCTAAGGGCTCTAGTGTCATAATATAGAGCATTGGTGCTAAATGGCAGCCTTCTCAAGTTCCATTTGTGATATTAACATATTCCGACATCAACCCCAGGCCAATTACTCTTGCAGATAGGTTGGAGGACAGTATCTTGATACTATCTCTAAATAAACCCACCAAACCCAATTTTTTGTATGACAAGCTCCATAAACTCACAATCCCCCCTATCAAAGGCCTTTACGGCATCCAGTGCCAAAAAGGTCGCTTTGATATTTTTCCGATCGACTCCATGAATGAGATTAAGGAGTTTATGTATATTATCTGGAGTACCCCTGGCCCTGATGAACCCTGAGTGATCTCCATGTATTAAATAGGGTATTACCTGCTTTAATTTATTTGCAAGTATCTTGGAATACATTTTAAAATCAAGGTTTATCAAAGAAATTGGTCTATAGTTAAATGTTTTAGTTAAATCCTTGCCCTCTTTTGGAATTAGGAGGATAAAGGCTTGTAAGGCTTCTTCCTGTAATTTTTGCATTGTTGAAAAAAATAGAAAAAACTCTCAAAAGCAAGGGAGCTACTATGGGTTGAAATCTTTTATAGAAAATGGCAGTATAACCATCTGGACCTGGTGCCTTGTTTGGTTTTAGATTTTGTATAACTTCTCTTACCTCTTGTATTGATATTGGCTGATTTAAAGGACCACTATAGTGCCAGGAAAACATACTCGTTTTCCTGGCACTATAGTTCCCTGAGGGTGCCCCCACCCTCAGGGTCCCCCTCCCGCTGGGCTCTAGTGTGTGGAAGGGGTTAAACTTACCTCTTTCTCCAGTGCCGGGCGGGGAGCTCCACTTCTCCGCCTCCTCTCCTCCTCCTCGGCTGAATGCGCATGAGCGGCAAGAGCTGCGCGCATTCAGCCAGTCTCATAGGAAAGCATTATCAATGTTTTCCTGTGGACGCTGGCGTCTTCTCACTGTGATTTTCACAGTGAGAAGCACGCAAGCGCCTCTAGCGGCTGTCAATGAGACAATTTCTCTGAAACTGCTATGTTTATAGAAAAAAGGGTTAACCCTAGCTGGAACTGGCACCCAGACCACTTCATTAAGCTGAAGTGGTCTGGGTGCCTATAGTGGTCCTTTAATACTTCTAGGTCTTCCTCACTGATCTTTGGTAATTTCAACTTCGAAAGAAAGGAAATAATTTGGTGGTTTGAAATTGTATTTTTTTTTTTATTGTATAGATAGTAATAATCTCTAAAGACCTTTGGATTTTTTTGAGCAGATAAAAAGGTCTCATCTTTTATTATAATTTGTTTGATAATTTCAGTTTTCCATTTTTATTTTTATTTATTTGTTAAAGATTTACCTATTCTGTTATTATTGTAATACCAATTCTGTTTTAATCTTAAAATATTTATGTTAATATTTTCCAATAATTTATCATTAATCTGTTTTCCTATTTATTTTATTTCAATAAGTATTTTATCGTAGAAACATAGAAACATAGAATGTGATGGCAGATAAGAACCATTTGGCCCATCTAGTCTGCCCAATTTTCTAAATACCTTATCTTATAGTTAGAATAGCCTTATGCCTATCCCACGCATGTTTAAACTCCTTTACTGTGTTAACCTTTACCACTTCAGCTGGAAGACTATTCCATGCATCCACTACCCTCTCAGTAAAGTAATACTCCCTAATATTATTTTTAAACCTTTGCCCCTCTAATTTAAGACTATGTCCTCTTGTTGTGGTAGTTTTTCTCCTTTTATACATGGTCTCCTCCTTTACTGTGTTGATTCCCTTTATGTCTTTCCTCCAAGCTATACATGTTAAGATCCTTTAACCTTTCCTGGTAAGTTTTATCCTGCAATCCATGAACCAGATTAGTAGCCCTTCTCTTAACTCTCTATCAATATCCTTCTGAAGATACGGTCTCCAGTACTGCGTACAATACTCCAAGTGAGGTCTCACCAGTGTTCTGTACAATGGCATGAGCACTTCCCTCTTTTTACTGCTAATGCCTCGTCCATATTGTTTTTACCTTCAAAGCTGTTGAAGGTTATCAGTTTTTTTATTTTTTATTTAAGCTCATCTTTTTTTTATTCTTTCTTTTTTTTTAATTCTTTATTTAGCATTGACAGAGAGTAAATTTGCATTGCATATAGTGGCTTACTCAGAAGCCGTTTTCCACAAGGTGTG